TTCCTCCTAATGAGAAAGACTTGAATGGGTATCTAGGCAAATGATGATGCAAGCATTCAAAAATTTCCATTTGTTTGACATTTAACAAAACACAAGTTCATTCATTCATACAATGCTATTTGGACTACCTACAAGCAAACTAATCTTACCTTCAATCCATTCATTAATTCATTACTTTTTAGCTACTCAAATTAAAACAACTTATAACATTATACAATTAAGGTGAGAATTAACATTTTGTATACAAATAATTCAAATATTAATAAACATAAAATTTGATTAACTAAAATTGAAACCCTAAAATTTGGGAAATTATTAACAACATATAAGTAATGAATTTAAATTAAGCATGAACTCACCCAAAAAATATGGAATGTGGGGTAAGAGGGAGAGGTGTGGTGGCCTGGTGGTGCGTGTGAAGGTGAGATGGGGGAGCACGCAGAGGGTCGCGGCAGGGGCAGCAGGCAGAGCGACGCAGCAGCACGACCCTATGGTAGTAATGGAGGTAGCAAGGGCAGCAGGCAGAGGGACGCAGCAGCACCACCCTAAGGTGGTTGTGGTGGTGAAAGCAGGCGCAGCAACCCCTTTTCCTAACAACACTCAATGAAAGAAACGAACGGTTGTGGTGGTGAAAGTAGGCAGCAAGGTTGTTGTTGTGGTGGGTAAGCACGACAATGGTGGTGTGGGATGCTGTGTGATGGTGGGTGAAAGTGAAGGAGGGAGCGAATTGAGTTGAAGGAGGTGTACTCGGCAATTGAAAGCAGCAAACACGAAGGAAATGAAGGAGGGAAAAAAGGAGGGAACGAAGGAAATAATAAGAATCCGGTTTTTTTTTTTTTAAAAGAGAAGCGGTTTGAACCGCTTCTAATTACCTTTTAGAAGCGGTACAAACCGAACCGCTTCCAATTCTCCTCTTGTTCTTTTTTTTTTAATCCCGGGTTTTTGTATGGAATTGGAAGCGGATTCCAATAACCGCTTCCAATTAGTGGCTTCCCATTACCTATTTTCTATTAGTGGGAAAGTCGACCCATCTGGCTGCCATAGTAAAGGTCAACACTTCCGCCAAGTCCCTTCACACGTCCTTTTTTTGTTCCGACCACCCACTGTCTCCCAGTACAGCTCATTCGGACTCTTTTGAGTCCTTTGAGTGCTAGCCTCCTCAACCCTCTTTCGGTAGGCCTCCTGTAAGATAAACATATGAAAAGGAATAAACGAGTTAGTAAGTTATATAAATAAGCTTTGGGTACCATATTCATGAAAAAATAAAACCAACATGACATAGGTGACTTCTACTTAGCCCAATTACTTCATTTCTTAGGAAATGAGCTCTTTTTTGCCTCATTCCATATAAATTAAACATAGTTTTTAGGAAATGAGCTCTTTTTTTCTTATAAAGTGCTTTAATTGACAAAAAAAAAACAAAGTAACAAAGTTTTTTACGTACAATATCCATGAAAAACGCACCGAGTATGGCCTAAAGTGACTTCTATGTTGCCCATTTTCTCTATTTCTTAGCTAATGTTCTCATTTCTCATCCAAACATGTCAAATGTACATAGTTTTAGGGGTCTAGGGCTTGAAATGCCATGAAAAAACAACACATTAAGTTTTGGGAGCCATATTGATGAAAAACGCACCAGGTATGGCCTAAGTGACTTCTATGTTGCCCATTTTCTCTATTTCTTAGCTAATGTTCTCATTTATAATCCAAACATGTCAAATGTTCATAGTATTAGGAGTCTAGGGCTTAAAATTCCAATAAAAAAACAACACATTAAGTTTTGGGAGCCATATTGATGAAAAACGCACCAAGTATGGCCTAAGTGACTTCTATGTTGCCCATTTTCTCTATTTCATAGCTAATGTTCTCATTTCTCATCTAAACATGTCAAATGTACATAGTTTTAGGATTCTAGGGCTTGAAATGCCAAGAAAAAACAACATATTAAGTTTTAGGGGCCACATTAATGAAAAACGCACCAAGTATGGCCTAAGTGACTTCTATGTTGCCCATTTTCTCTATTTCTTAGCTAATGTTCTCATTTCTCATCCAAACATGTCAAATGTACATAGTTTTAGGGGTCTAGGGATTGAAATTCCAAAAAAAAAAAACAACACATTAAGTTTTGGGAGCCATATTGATGAAAAACGAACCAAGTATGGCCTATATGACCTATTCTTTGACCATTTTCTTTCATTTTCGACCAAATGAACTATTTCTTTCTCTAAACATGTTAATTATGGTTATTAAAAGCGGTAATTCCTTAAAATCACAAAAAACAACAAGTCCTTAAGGTTCGGGACGCATTTGGAGCGAAATTGAACCAACTATGGCCTATATAACCTATTCTTTGCCCATTTTCTTCATTTTCGACCAAATGAACTATTTCTTTCTCTAAACATGTCAATTATGGTTATTCAAAGGGGTACATGCCTTTAAATCACAAAAAACAACAAGTCCCTAAGGTTCGGGACGCATTTGGAGCAAAATTGAACCAACTATGGCCTATATGACCTATTCTTTGCCCATTTTCTTCATTTTCGACCAAATGAACTATTTCTTTCTCTAAACATGTCAATTATAGGTAATCTAAGGGGTACATGCCTTGAAATCACAAAAACCAACAAGTCCCTAAGTTTTCAGTACCATATTCATGAATAATGATCCAATGAACTAAGTTTAGGGAATTTGTTACCGTAATTTCCTGAGCTGTGGGGTTTACTGCCACTGTGCCTTTCCCAGGAAGCTCCTTGAAGTGTGTCTTCAGAAACAGCTCAGGAGCTATTGGCAGCTGGCCCTTGTTCTTCGCCGCCTTTGAGACAAAAAAATAGGAATAAACGTTAAACAAGTCACACCCTTGTTACGTTGAAATACACAAAAACGCCTTTTAATATAAGATCTTTTTAAATAAACTTACCATCCTTTTTGCTGTTGGACAGATGACAGCGAACCCTCAAAGTGGGTCCCTCGAACGGGATTTTCCATAGAACCGCCCCTTCTGTTCTTCTTGTTTTGCGCCGACCTCTCCTTGTAAGTTGGATCCGATGCAACAATGTTCATCATCTCCTTGTGGATCTCCTCACTCAGCCAACTTGGCTTGGCGCCATTCATCTTGTGCGTGATGGTGTGGAACATGTCACGCAGGCGTGTTGCTACCCTCCTCCGAAATGTGAGCTTCACTAGCTCGTTCATCTGGAGTGCCCATCTGAATTGTGCCTGTAAATGATAAAATATAGAAGTTATACACAAAACTAAATCAATACAATATCTAAAACATGTATTAACCAAGACCCAAAAATATCATACGCTGAACAAGTTCCACCAGTGTTCCTTCGTAGCTGCAGGAACTTCTCCAAAGTTCCTCCAAGGGGCTCGGTAGTATCCACTAATCGTACCGGATACCGCACTCCAAACCTTAGGATCATCAAACCTATAACAAACGGGAAACAACAATGTTAAACAAGTTCGAGAATAGTAATATAAGCCTTGTATCTCATCATTCATATCATGATATGTACGTACCACAGCGTAGTAGGGTCCAAAAACAGGAGTTGTGACTCAAAGTTTCAATCTATCCATTGATAGATTCAATATTTGAAGTGAAAGTTTCAATCATTCATGTCAATGTTTCAAACTTTAATCATATTAGTTTCATGGTATAATGGGTGTAGCAACTCATTTAATATTTCCATGCATATGTATTAGTATGTTTGGCCGATTTTTCTCCATTGTCCTTGTCAATGGCGGATTAAGTGTGGGTTAAGTGTGTTCAACTGAACCCATGTGGACTTGGAAAAAAAATTGCTTTCTCCGTTTCACAACAGTCGCTAAACTTTTAAAATTACATATCCTAGGTAATCTTTTAGAGAAGAGAAAGATAGAGAGAAAGAAAAAAAGGGACCCATGTGAGAGGAGAGAGATAGAAATAATTTTTTGCTTAAAAAAGAAGTGTAGCAAGTAATTGAAACTTCCTTAAATAGAAAGCATAGCGAGTAATCCGAAACGGGGGAAGTAGAAGTTTTTATTTTTTTATTTAAAAAAAGAGTTAAATAAGGGTTATAAAATGCGCGATAATAAATTTTATATTAGGAGATGGTCCAGTGGTTGGTGCTCCTCGTTTTCGGGGAAAAGTTACCAATCTAAGCTTAATTATCAAACAATGTTCCATATACACGCGTGACAAAACTATTTACGAAACTAAGCCAAAGGGTAAACGCCATCTAGGGTAGCGTTTACCCCTGACAATTTTTTGTAAAAAAAAACATTTCAGTTAGTTGTAAAACGCTATCCTGGATGGCGTTTTACCCCTAACTGAAATGTAAAAAATAAAATAAAATTCAAAGGGTAAAACGTAGAGGTGATCAAACTTGGCCCGGCCTGACGTGGCCCAATTTTGGGCAGAAATTTTCGGCCCGAAAATTTATTTTTTTGGGCGGGTTTGGGAATGCGTTTTATGCATATTTCAGTTGATTTTTTTTGGCCCGGCCCGACCATTTTGGGCGGGTTTGGGCACAAAAATTTTGGCCCGAAGCTTGGCCCGAGAAATGGGCATAATTTTTTTAGCTTTGGCCCGGCCCGGCCAATGATCACCTCTAGTAAAACGCCAACGTGGAGGACGTTTTTGTCTTCTGCATAAAAATTCAACCACGCTGGAGTTTTTGCATAGGAGTAAAACGCCAACGACGTTGGAGTTTTTACATCGGGTAAAATCTGCTATGTTCTTCAGTCAGAGGTGAAACGCCATCCAGGGTAGACTTTACCCCTAACTGAAATGTTTTTAAAAAAAAATTTGTGAAAGGGTAAAACGCTATCCTGAATGGCGTTTTACCCTCAAGCTCAGTTTGATAAATAGTTTTGCCACTCGTTTAATATGGAGTATAGTTTCTTAACGAAGCTTCCTTTGGTAATTTTTCCCGTTTTCGAACGCGGGCCATGATCAAATCTGGTGACTTGGTGAGTAACACAAACCTGATTGTTTTTTTTTTTTTTTTTTTTTTTTTTTTTCTTTTCATTTTATGTTATCCCAATTTACAAAACAACTCTCACCCTCTCACCTCAAACCCCAAACCCTTTATTCGCTCCTCGCGGCGCTGCCTCCCAGGCTCCACGGCGGCCGGCGTTGGTTGGCTCGGCTCGGCGTCTCCAAATCGCTACACACTCCTCGCTCTCTGTCCTACTCGCCTCTCATTCTATCAATCTTTGTATGTGTAAATGTCTAATTACAAAATTACATTTCAGTTATTTAAATTAATTTGTTGTTAATAGCAGTTTATTTATCTTTTTAGCTTGTTCATCTTGTTAATTAATTTACAGTTTTGTTGTTTAATTGTTATTTTAATAGTTTATTTGAATTGTAGTTGTGTTGAATACTTGAGTTGTGGATTACTTGATTTATAATTGCAATTTGACATGTTGTTTGTTAATTTATATGCTTGCTGACTGATGTATTCCGGAAGGACCTTGATGGTCTTATTTGATGTTGTCTGTTCTACCTTAGTTGTTTCCCCTGGAGCTTTTATCTGTATTTTGTTAGTAGTTTCTTTTGGAGTTTTGTTTGGTACTCAGGCAGCCATGTGCTTTCTGTATGTATTTCAGAAATAGTGCGCATATCTTGAGATATACACCCGGGTGTTTAATCGAATTTTCTACGGGTAAATCCTAGTTATTTATTGGAGGAAAACAATCTCTATCCATGGTATTAGAAGTTCCTAGTTTGTTTGATTAGCCGCTTTTGTGTGTAGGGATATGGGGATAGGGAGAGAGCAGAGTAGCACATCCGAAGCCGAAAGAGAGGAAAAAAGAATTGTGATGCTGGCACTGAGCGATGAATGCTTGCCTTCGGAAAGACTACAAGGTGGTACTCAATTATATCACACTCGTGCAGAATTTCACTCTGTGGATCTGAAGCACAATATATTAACTCGTTCTTGCTTTCCTTCAATTATCATGGCTAAGTTCTTCTCATCTGCCATGGTGTCATCTTTGAATAAATTTATCTACTTAGTGGGAGTGGGAGGAGCGCGATTATCTGTCGTCCAATCATCTAATGAGTCTTCCTCTTCCAACCACACATTCTACTCCGGCGGTTCATGTCTTGACATGTCTGATGAGGCTCCAGTGTGGTGTCCAGCTCCTGTCTTCGTTGAGGATCACACTTCTCCCAACTATGTTAGCTTTCTTGGCAATATTTACAACTTTGGATCTGTTTGCCTTGCGCCCCAGGTTCTTGAATGTGGTGCCCTTGGCCACTGTAAGTCAATTCGCTCTCTCCCTATCCCTCAAAGCCTTGCTGGTTGTAGTGTGTCTGTTCCTGTACTTCCCGACCCTTCCAACAAACGCATTCTTATGCGCCTCTATGGTGGTCCCCTTTCGTCGCCTTCCCTCTATGCTTTCACTCCCGATCCTGATGCTGATGCTGATGCTATTGGGACATGGGAATGTCTCACCTCTGATCTCCATCTTTGGGCTCATGCTGCTGCTGTTGTTAATGGGGTCATATATTTTCACTGCCATAAAGTTCCATCTCTTCTTTGTGCTTTTCATATAACCAAGAAAATATGGTTGAAAGTCTGGTGGGATTCGTGCTTTAAGGACAGTGTTAATATGAATGTCGAAACAATTAAATTCGATGCAATGCTTCATTTGGGCCACAATATTTTGTGCTTTGCTTGTTGGACACCAATATATTCCCGGACTGCTGTTTTTACCCTCGAAGTCATATTTTACAAGTTCCAAGTGTTGGTCACCGGTGAAACTGTAACCGTCAAGGTCTGTGACTCCTACTCATATGAACTTCCGGGAAGTACCAATGTGTTTCATTTCCTCCCCATTTAGCAGGTACTCTTCTCCATCTTACCATCTCTTATTCTTGCTATTATTCTGTTACTTACTATCAAGGTATTTTACTGCCTCTTTTAATGTGGATTCGATTTATAATGCTAAATTTGTTCATCAACTTAGTTGAAAGAGGCATTGTTGGATAAATTTTCATTCCCAAAAATTTGCACTAGTGATTAATTTCCGAGTCTTGTTTCTTTTTGTTATTTGATAGCTCTACGAAGGAGTAGAGTTTTCATATTAATTATGAAGTTCTTGATGGTGTTCGGCTGTTTTCTAATGTGCTATTGTGTTCAAATCTCACATACATCGTGCCTCGTAGTCTAGAACCTGTGGTTGTTTGATGCTCTTTGATGATTGGAGTGATTGTATTTCGACGGTACTTTAAAGGAAAACATAATGCAGAATTTATTAGACAAGTGTGAAAGATGTGAGCCTGAAAAGAACACATGATGAAACAAAGTTTGAGTCTTTTTATAAAAAAATTCAAGATCACCAAAGATACGGCAAGCCTTAAACCAAAATATAATAATCATTTAGAATCTTCTCATAGATGTGCCAAGAAGCAATAGGAAATTTGTTGGAATGAATTGAAGTATAAACTTGGGTGTCAGGTGTAGGCCACTGGATGCTCCTGCATGATCAGCAAAACTCATGCAGATTGACCACTTCAAAAAGGCGCTCTTGCTTGTGGAGTGAAATTCAGCTGAATGAAAAACTGATATGTGATCTTAGTTTTAAACGCGGGTGCCTAGGCGTGACACTGGGCTCAAGGTGCACTAGGGTGCCAAGAAAAACACCTCTGGAGGCTGAGGCACATACCCCTTCGAGAGGCGCAAAGGCGCAGGCTTTTTGGGCTTTTTTTTTTGTTTATTTTTCATTTTTAATCCTTTTGAGCCTAACCCACTAGAGGCGCACACCCCTCTTGCGCCTAGGTGCGCCTCTTGCATGTGATTAAGCTGAATTCTTTTAATTTCATATTCTCTCCATAGAGGAAGAGGTAGTTAATCTCTCTGCAAAGGTAGTTAATGGATTCTGTAAGGTAAAAAAAAAAAGGATATAGCCTTTTGAGTTTTAATGCATTGATGATTAGTTAAATTGCACTTTAGGGCCTTGTCACTTCTGTTAACTAGAGGTTTGAAATATTCCCACTTAATACTATGAGTCCATGACCCATGAGGTACAATGGTTGAAATTCCATCTAATTTGATAATTTTATAGGTGCAAGTGTGTAACAAAGTGTGAGAATCAACTGTGAACATAATATTGGATTTTCATATAAATTTGTAAGAATTGCATTATTATGACGGTCTAAACCGCCTGTGATCTGGTTGAAATTTTCACTATATCCTTGTGTTGACCAAAGCGAATCACCAAAGTTCATGAATACCAAATTGGAAATAAACCAAACACCAGGACACTAAATGGGAAATGCCAAAATATTCATTTTCATGAATCAATTTGTTGAATACAGTGCTCTAGCTTTCCTCGTATAGATATGTTCTTGAATATGTAAAACACATTTTTTCCCCCTTTCTCTATAAGTTTTTAGCTTGTGATTACTTCCTATGTAGGGTAAAACCTTATAATATAGTAAGTGCTTATATTATGTTGATTCCTGGGATGTTAAATGTTAGATGAACATTTAATAAGCAGTGTGTCATGGTACTCATGCTTTCCAGTTACCTAAGTTAGGAAGATGATAAAGTAGGTTTGCATCTACATGGACACCATATTTCTGAAATGCTTTTGTCTCTTTCTTATTTACTAGGAGGTTGTTTGCTTGCAACCTATTTCCCCAACAAACACAATCTCCTAGGAAATAGATTGTGTTTGTTGGCAAAAACATTGGAAATGAGAATTCCAAGGAATTGGAAATTCCTACAAAGGGGGAGTGATTGGGTGACCCTAAGTGTTAAAGCATTAATTTTATATAACCCTCTTCCAATTTATTACACATATAATGCTATTTTATTATATTATACTCCGTATCTAATAGGGTTGGCAACCCTAAGGGTTGCTAAATCATTTTTCTGTAGGAAATCATTAACCGACTCCCCCCTTGGTAAATGCAAATTCCTGTGTCAATTACAAATACCCATGCTCAACCAAACACACATACTTATTTCCTAGGAAATGGAAGAATGGAATCTATTTCCAATTGGAATCAACTTCCCATGGCAACCAAACGACACCTAGATTTCAATAAGCTTGCCGCTGCCATGTTTTCCTCTGTCAACATTGTATACCCGTCTGAATATTAGATTTTAGTTTTGGATTTCTAAAATGTGTATATAGCTCTCAAGTAACTTTTGTAATTTGGGTACTGAATATAATATGTTCTAGGGACTGTAAAAGTACTACTCCCTCTGTTCCACCTTAAGGTTTAGGGTCCTTAAGGATCCACAATAAGGCAGAAGTGATTAACTTAATAATTGCAGCCTATACAGACGATAGCCACCATGCCCGCCTCAGCAGCTGCCACAACCACCCACCTAGGTCAACCACTACCAAACGAGGATGATTTGTTGGAGAAAACATGAGGCTGGAGCAGAGAGCATGGGATAGGGAACAAATGGAGTGTAGTTGGGGAGAGAAACGTGAGATCTTGTGATATGAGAGTGAAAGTTAGGATTAGTAAATAGACAACAGGTTAGTTTGTTAATATACTGTCAACACATGATAAAACTTGTCTTAAGGGGTAACTATGACTTCACATCCACGGGTGATGTCTAAATGTCCAGAATTCTGGTTTTTTTTCTTCTTTTATTTCATAGTTAAAAATTTGTGAAAAAGGTGTATTGTATACACCGTGCCTTAGATGAGAACTTCAGGTTGGTGTCATTCATCTTCATCGAATGCTATATCCATTGAATATTGAGAACTTTTAGCTGTCGATAAATGGACACAAATCCTTGTACCGAGGAGGTATTTTTCCATGCAATTTGTTTTTATGTAGTATTTTCTTTGGAATGTCAATAACCACTAAACCCCAAATTATTTTGGGACTAAGGCTTTGTTGTTGTTGGTTGTGAATAACCATTAAAATAATTATCACCAAAATGCTATGCTGTGTTATTTGTGCATAGCACTGATAGCAGCTGTAAAATGGTATGCTGAGCTATTTACAATCTCAAGCCCTATGTTATTTGTTACACCTCAAACCCTATTGTTTCTCAATTTTTACCTTAAGGTGCTAGGTGTTTGGAATACATTCTGAGCTCTGCTGCTTGTAGGCTTTGCCATGTTGCTTGGCTCATGTTGAAATTTGTTTGACGATTTTGTGGTTATATGTTTAGTTGAGTACTTAAGTCAGAGTTGAGATGCATTCGTGCATAGCCGTGTAATGGTAAAACTTGGTGGTTGTTTCATGCTTAAGTCTTGTAGATCTCGTCATTTTGTTTTTTGGGTGCCAAATAGTATTTAATGAAAGCCATTTTGTGATGCTTCACAGATAGGATAGGACAACTCGTGTTTATCATCACTTTTCTTAAGTTATTTACTTGTGCTACATGCCTACACGTTGGATGCTTCTGCTGCGCCTAGAAACTTGTTTAGGATAGTTGTGTTGTATTTAAGGCTTAGCTTCTTCAGACAATGGCAGTTGAAGTTATGAATTATGAGTCCTATTGTCAAATATATAATATCAAGAAGAGCTGCTCGAATCATACTTGTATATTCTTTTTTGGTCTTTTATCACAGAGACATGATATTGAGGCAATTAATGACACGGTTTCCTCAATTATTTTTACTTTTCACAGGGTAGCTACTGCTGAGGAAGAGTATGGCAATAGTGTTGGTCCCGAGGATGATTACTTGCTCCTATTGCTTGCACATCGTCAGCCAATTTCGGATTCCGGATGTTTTGCCTTTTAGTATTGTGATGACTGTTTTGTAGTGTCGTATTTGGTTTACCAGTTTGTGGAAATGCTTTAATTAGCTCTTTTCTGTGAACTGAATACAAGGATGCTTGTTTCTGATTAAAAACCCTGATTCCAATGAACAACAATTTTCTAGTTTATTCAAAATAACATGTCCTTTGGTTACTTGGGTTTCCCAATTTGCTATTTCATCTAACAACCCCTCATTAATCCAAAGATGTATCAATCTTATTCTTCTCAGTTTCTCATGTTTTTTATATAATATGCAGCGTAACTAAACTCTAATATTCGGAAAACATTACGTTCCATGTTAACTTGATCATGAGCACAGGTCAGCTCTATTAAAGCATATCTCCGCTCTTAAAACACCAACCACTTCAGTCAAACTGCAAGCCATTGTAGCAATTGCAAGTGGCAAGCTATACAAGATCAAAGGTGCGGTGCATATCTTTGATGGGGGTAAATATTGTAGTCATTGTAAAATAGTCGTAGAAATATAATCATCCTGCGATATATATAGCGGTGATTTTGGTTTTAGCATGGTGGTCGAGTATGTGGCAAACCACCACATTCTTCAGCAACTGATCTTGCTGATTCTTCGGTCAGACTGCAAGCCATTCTCTTATTATTTGGTCTGCAAGCTCTGTAGAAGTAGTGATACACATTTTCCTTTTTCTTATATTAATTATGTTGCGAACAACTAATATTTTAGGTATCAGTCTGTGTGGTTCAATACTCTGCTTCATAGTTCAGACTTAAGTTTCTCATGCATATATCACATGAGGAGGGCTTGTGGTGGTGATGGTGATGTTTTTAGCTACAATGGACATTGACATTATGCAACATATTACATTAGAAATTGTAGTGCGTTTTAAATAAATGACAATGGTAAAATAAACAATATTACAATTCGATACAATTATCATTGGGTCCGGTTAGATTTTCTTCTAGTTGAAGTAGGTAAATTTTTGACATATTTGAAGTTCTTGATGGTGTTCGGCTGTTTTCTAATGTGCTATTGTGTTCAAATCTCACATACATCGTGCCTCGTAGTCTAGAACCTGTGGTTGTTTGATGCTCTTTGATGATTGGAGTGATTGTATTTCGACGGTACTTTAAAGGAAAACATAATGCAGAATTTATTAGACAAGTGTGAAAGATGTGAGCCTGAAAAGAACACATGATGAAACAAAGTTTGAGTCTTTTTATAAAAAAATTCAAGATCACCAAAGATACGGCAAGCCTTAAACCAAAATATAATAATCATTTAGAATCTTCTCATAGATGTGCCAAGAAGCAATAGGAAATTTGTTGGAATGAATTGAAGTATAAACTTGGGTGTCAGGTGTAGGCCACTGGATGCTCCTGCATGATCAGCAAAACTCATGCAGATTGACCACTTCAAAAAGGCGCTCTTGCTTGTGGAGTGAAATTCAGCTGAATGAAAAACTGATATGTGATCTTAGTTTTAAACGCGGGTGCCTAGGCGTGACACTGGGCTCAAGGTGCACTAGGGTGCCAAGAAAAACACCTCTGGAGGCTGAGGCACATACCCCTTCGAGAGGCGCAAAGGCGCAGGCTTTTTGGGCTTTTTTTTTGTTTATTTTTCATTTTTAATCCTTTTTGAGCCTAACCCACTAGAGGCGCACACCCCTCTTGCGCCTAGGTGCGCCTCTTGCATGTGATTAAGCTGAATTCTTTTAATTTCATATTCTCTCCATAGAGGAAGAGGTAGTTAATCTCTCTGCAAAGGTAGTTAATGGATTCTGTAAGGTAAAAAAAAAAGGATATAGCCTTTTGAGTTTTAATGCATTGATGATTAGTTAAATTGCACTTTAGGGCCTTGTCACTTCTGTTAACTAGAGGTTTGAAATATTCCCACTTAATACTATGAGTCCATGACCCATGAGGTACAATGGTTGAAATTCCATCTAATTTGATAATTTTATAGGTGCAAGTGTGTAACAAAGTGTGAGAATCAACTGTGAACATAATATTGGATTTTTCATATAAATTTGTAAGAATTGCATTATTATGACGGTCTAAACCGCCTGTGATCTGGTTGAAATTTTCACTATATCCTTGTGTTGACCAAAGCGAATCACCAAAGTTCATGAATACCAAATTGGAAATAAACCAAACACCAGGACACTAAATGGGAAATGCCAAAATATTCATTTTCATGAATCAATTTGTTGAATACAGTGCTCTAGCTTTCCTCGTATAGATATGTTCTTGAATATGTAAAACACATTTTTTCCCCCTTTCTCTATAAGTTTTTAGCTTGTGATTACTTCCTATGTAGGGTAAAACCTTATAATATAGTAAGTGCTTATATTATGTTGATTCCTGGGATGTTAAATGTTAGATGAACATTTAATAAGCAGTGTGTCATGGTACTCATGCTTTCCAGTTACCTAAGTTAGGAAGATGATAAAGTAGGTTTGCATCTACATGGACACCATATTTCTGAAATGCTTTTGTCTCTTTCTTATTTACTAGGAGGTTGTTTGCTTGCAACCTATTTCCCCAACAAACACAATCTCCTAGGAAATAGATTGTGTTTGTTGGCAAAAACATTGGAAATGAGAATTCCAAGGAATTGGAAATTCCTACAAAGGGGGAGTGATTGGGTGACCCTAAGTGTTAAAGCATTAATTTTATATAACCCTCTTCCAATTTATTACACATATAATGCTATTTTATTATATTATACTCCGTATCTAATAGGGTTGGCAACCCTAAGGGTTGCTAAATCATTTTTCTGTAGGAAATCATTAACCGACTCCCCCCTTGGTAAATGCAAATTCCTGTGTCAATTACAAATACCCATGCTCAACCAAACACACATACTTATTTCCTAGGAAATGGAAGAATGGAATCTATTTCCAATTGGAATCAACTTCCCATGGCAACCAAACGACACCTAGATTTCAATAAGCTTGCCGCTGCCATGTTTTCCTCTGTCAACATTGTATACCCGTCTGAATATTAGATTTTAGTTTTGGATTTCTAAAATGTGTATATAGCTCTCAAGTAACTTTTGTAATTTGGGTACTGAATATAATATGTTCTAGGGACTGTAAAAGTACTACTCCCTCTGTTCCACCTTAAGGTTTAGGGTCCTTAAGGATCCACAATAAGGCAGAAGTGATTAACTTAATAATTGCAGCCTATACAGACGATAGCCACCATGCCCGCCTCAGCAGCTGCCACAACCACCCACCTAGGTCAACCACTACCAAACGAGGATGATTTGTTGGAGAAAACATGAGGCTGGAGCAGAGAGCATGGGATAGGGAACAAATGGAGTGTAGTTGGGGAGAGAAACGTGAGATCTTGTGATATGAGAGTGTAAGTTAGGATTAGTAAATAGACAACAGGTTAGTTTGTTAATATACTGTCAACACATGATAAAACTTGTCTTAAGGGGTAACTATGACTTCACATCCACGGGTGATGTCTAAATGTCCAGAATTCTGGTTTTTTTTCTTCTTTTATTTCATAGTTAAAAATTTGTGAAAAAGGTGTATTGTATACACCGTGCCTTAGATGAGAACTTCAGGTTGGTGTCATTCATCTTCATCGAATGCTATATCCATTGAATATTGAGAACTTTTAGCTGTCGATAAATGGACACAAATCCTTGTACCGAGGAGGTATTTTTCCATGCAATTTGTTTTTATGTAGTATTTTCTTTGGAATGTCAATAACCACTAAACCCCAAATTATTTTGGGACTAAGGCTTTGTTGTTGTTGGTTGTGAATAACCATTAAAATAATTATCACCAAAATGCTATGCTGTGTTATTTGTGCATAGCACTGATAGCAGCTGTAAAATGGTATGCTGAGCTATTTACAATCTCAAGCCCTATGTTATTTGTTACACCTCAAAACCCTATTGTTTCTCAATTTTTACCTTAAGGTGCTAGGTGTTTGGAATACATTCTGAGCTCTGCTGCTTGTAGGCTTTGCCATGTTGCTTGGCTCATGTTGAAATTTGTTTGACGATTTTGTGGTTATATGTTTAGTTGAGTACTTAAGTCAGAGTTGAGATGCATTCGTGCATAGCCGTGTAATGGTAAAAACTTGGTGGTTGTTTCATGCTTAAGTCTTGTAGATCTCGTCATTTTGTTTTTTGGGTGCCAAATAGTATTTAATGAAAGCCATTTTGTGATGCTTCACAGATAGGATAGGACAACTCGTGTTTATCATCACTTTTCTTAAGTTATTTACTTGTGCTACATGCCTACACGTTGGATGCTTCTGCTGCGCTAGAAACTTGTTTAGGATAGTTGTGTTGTATTTAAGGCTTAGCTTCTTCAGACAATGGCAGTTGAAGTTATGAATTATGAGTCCTATTGTCAAATATATAATATCAAGAAGAGCTGCTCGAATCATACTTGTATATTCTTTTTTGGTCTTTTATCACAGAGACATGATATTGAGGCAATTAATGACACGGTTTCCTCAATTATTTTTACTTTTCACAGGGTAGCTACTGCTGAGGAAGAGTATGGCAATAGTGTTGGTCCCGAGGATGATTACTTGCTCCTATTGCTTGCACATCGTCAGCCAATTTCGGATTCCGGATGTTTTGCCTTTTAGTATTGTGATGACTGTTTTGTAGTGTCGTATTTGGTTTACCAGTTTGTGGAAATGCTTTAATTAGCTCTTTTCTGTGAACTGAATACAAGGATGCTTGTTTCTGATTAAAAACCCTGATTCCAATGAACAACAATTTTCTAGTTTATTCAAAATAACATGTCCTTTGGTTACTTGGGTTTCCCAATTTGCTATTTCATCTAACAACCCCTCATTAATCCAAAGATGTATCAATCTTATTCTTCTCAGTTTCTCATGTTTTTTATATAATATGCAGCGTAACTAAACTCTAATATTCGGAAAACATTACGTTCCATGTTAACTTGATCATGAGCACAGGTCAGCTCTATTAAAGCATATCTCCGCTCTTAAAACACCAACCACTTTCAGTCAAACTGCAAGCCATTGTAGCAATTGCAAGTGGCAAGCTATACAAGATCAAAGGTGCGGTGCATATCTTTGATGGGGGTAAATATTGTAGTCATTGTAAAATAGTCGTAGAAATATAATCATCCTGCGATATATATAGCGGTGATTTTGGTTTTAGCATGGTGGTCGAGTATGTGGCAAACCACCACATTCTTCA